ATTTGGCGGCAAAACTGCCGGTTAGAGGACACATACCATGTCCTTAATGACAGGAGATTGTTTGGGAATGGATCCTAGTGATATTTTTGACTATGCATTAGCTCTTTGTGAGCTGAAGTAATATTCAAATTTGTCCACCTCGACAAACTGTTGCGGAGGGTGGATGAATATTGCTTTTAAGTGTTGATGGATTTATTTAAATTTTAAATATATTTGAATTTTCGTATTTTTATGGAGTTTTGGATTTTGATAGACATTTGAATTTTTGGGAGACATTTAAAAGTGTTTGTGAACCCCTTTGGTTGAGATAAACATTCAACACAATCATCATCGGGGTGTTTGAGGTTATTTCCATTTAAAATTTGAACCTTGTCGATCCTATCAACTTGCCGATAGGGGATAGGAGTTTATAGGTTTTGTGCCTTTATTAGTTAATTCATATTGTTATAGGACTTGAAGGCTTAATATGAATGTATTAAAACAAATATACCGGTCATCACAACCGTATATTTGTTTGATGGTTTGAACCCTGTCGACTTCTATTGATTCGCATAGAAGGATCGGAAACTTGAATTCACTTATTGACCTACGAAACATCCTTAGATGTCACGTATATACCAATAACACGCTCGTCGGGGCCCATGCGGGTATTTGGGGGCATTTTATAATTATTTATTAAATTTTATCGACTCCTATTTACCTGCTTAGGAGGATCGGGTTCAAATTTATTGACCCACGCAGCATCCCTAGACGTCACATATGTACCAATAACACGCTTGCCAGGGCCCATGCGGGTTTTTGTGAATATATCTACCTCTTTTGTGTACCTACGTGTATACAAACTAAGGTGCACGTGCGGGGCTATTCTAGACTTTTTTGTCTTCTATGATAACTCATATTAGTTTACATTTGTCGTATGTCTTTCATTTCTGTTTGCAGATGATACACGATATATAGAGTGGACCCCTATATAAGAACTTGTGGGCATTTGCATTTGCTGCATATCATCTACCCTCCATCCATTTGGCATGTTTGCAAGAGACTTTGTAGTTTACAAACAAGTTATAGGGAATGTAAGCCTTCTGATATTGATTACAGATACTTGCATTCATCACAAATCTTCTACATTTGTTGGTAAGTAGCAATTCATGCATATGGAGAACCTTCTATAACGTCATGTGGGGGGTTTCACTTACTACAACTGTTCGTAGGTAATTTGCATATGGGAGAGATTTCTTGTATTGACTCGTAGGAACTCAAATCTGTCATCTATCTCTCCCTACATATTGACGGTAACATAGAGTACACTTATAACTAATTTTTTATATGCACTTTGATGAATCGAGTCATTACTGAGGTACTTTATGATTTACCCATACTAGGACATGACTCTCTCTTGATTACCATTGACTGTGAAGGCGTGTTTTTTTTGTAAAAAGATCTACAAATCTTTTGAAATTAACATGGATGGACTAGTGTGTTTATTTGTGTGTATTGTACTATCGTCCATAAGCACGCATGAGTTTCTTGTAACTATCTATATTTGCCTCTTGCTATGCTTTGTGTATTTGGGTTCATCACATGTCGCCTATTAAACTCTTCTACTAGTAGAAACTCGTGCATTCGCTTGTATGATTACTCCATAGGCAAGTTGTTTTCACCATATTTCCCCCATTCGGGCTTGCTAGTGATTCGTTGAACTTCAGCTCGAGTTGCTTGTGAGAGAGATATACTTCAACTTGGTAAGCACTCTTCTAACATTTCTCCTTTATAGTGTTTGCAAATTGAAGTAATGGAGAGATCACCACATTTCTTGCATAATCCAATCAAGTGACATTGATCGAATGAAGGTTGTATTTGCTTCAGACCTTTCTAATACACCTTCGTAGTTAGTTCATTGTATATTGAATTCTCTTGTCGCTTGCAAAGGGGGTCAAATGACATTGATCACTTTGCAAATTGTATTCACTTAAAGCTTGTTCAACAGGCCTTGCTCATTGATTCATCATGCTCACTTGATGTCTCATGACATAAATATTCATGTTGTTATTATTGTCATATGGCATTTGCATTTTGATGGGCATAAATATCATGAATACATTGTAGCACTTATTGAAGGCCTCATATTACAACAAGTGGTGTTGGACAATCCTTGTAATGGCTTGCAGATAGACCTTTGTATGTGTTTTAAACTCACACTTATGCCTGTCAGCTAGTTATTTTGTTCACCACAAATCTTCTGCATACACCCATGAAAGTTCACATTCGCTGCAAGTTCTTGTTTATTGTTTGTGAACTAGCTAGGTTATATGGGCATATCACTTTAATTTCATCATTTATAAAAAAATTGTAATATGTAATGAGAGTTTGTTTATGATTTCATTTATTTGCTCATTAATGTTCATTATTCATCTCATTGCTTGAGTTTAGGTAACAATATCAAATTATATGTCCCCTATAGTCCTTGTAAATTCAAGTTCGAGATCAAATAGTCCAAATCTTGTCCAAGTCCCCTGTGGTCCAACTCAAACTCTTGCTTGAGTTCAAATGTTCGAATCACCCTGGTTCGTTTGAGTTTGAATTTATCAATTGAATAAAGTTCATAAGTCCTCATTTATCCTTTGAGTTCAATCAAGTTCTCTTGCATTTTGTTCAAATGCTCGAATTTTGTTCATCTCATTTGATTTGCAAGTTCAACTTTACGTTCAAATTATTTAAGTCCTTGTTCAATTCAGGCTTATGTTATCTTTTATATTCACTCAAGGTTGAGTTCACTTAAGTCCCATTTGTTCAATCAAGTTCAGGTACGACCTCGTGTTCACCCGAAATTTCGGCAGCCTCCCGAGGTCTCCCCTATTTAGGGGAAAACTATGAGAAACTGTGCCTTCCCACCACACGCAATAAAGGCGTATATGGTAGGTGTCCTCAGATGAGGACACCCGTGATCTTTCTTCCCACCACGCGCAATAAAGGCGTGTATGGGGTCTTCGGTACCTGTTTAAAAGAAGACAGTTTACTTTCCCCTCGCTCGATGGTACTTATGAATAACCCTGTTTCGCCGTAGGCGTCACACCGGGGTCCCATCCCACCACATGTAATAAAGGCGTGTATAGACGATTTTTCGAAGCCACACGAACTTTGAAATGGGGCTTTTAGGTGATTACCCGCCTCGTCGTAGGATTCGCACCTGGGTCCCATCCCACCATGTGCAATAAAGGCGAGTATAAGCGATTTTCTGATCCGCCGCAAACAACGAAGACAAGCTCTCGGAGTTTTAGGGTTAAGGGGTCATACCTGCGCGGAGTCGACAATAGAGGCTCGAGAGAAGGAGAGAGAGGCACATGTATTTCTATTTTTTTTCTCTCTCTCTCTCTCTCTCTCTCTCTCTCTCTCTGGATTGAAGGAATCAGGGCTAAGGGTGGTCGGCTCGGGTGGATTTCTGGCGAGATGGGGTCGGTCCAGATGTCGTGAGGAGGAGGGCAGGGGTTCGGCTGTAGCTCGGGTTTTGCCGTGGATGGGAGAGATCGACGGCTTCAGAGATCGGGATTCGGTCGTGGGTCGCGAATGGAGGAAGCCTGCGGCTTGTGGAGGTTTGCGGGAGAAGAGGTCTCGAAGGCTTCCACGGGTACAGTATTTAACGACGAGAAAAGCATAGTTGGCACGTGATTTGAGCAATTTTCCCGGGAAGAGACACGACTCCTACGGCGTCGGCACTGAACAGTGTCAGTTACATGGGGTATCTTGCGGGATTCGTGGAAATTTGGGCGTCTCGACGAATACGAGATATGTATGCGGGATTTCTCTTTTTTTGCTCTTTTTGTTTCTTTGTACAGAGGTTAACAGCTGCTACTATATGCTTGATACTATGTATCTATGAATACAATGTATCTAATTGACGACTAGCCTTAATCGAAAGTTCTCTCTCATTAATGGGAGGGGTAATTAACTATAGGAAACCAGAACTCAGATCATAAAGTCCTCGTAAAGTGAGAGAGAAATCTCTAGGTAGTGTCTTATCTACAAACCCATTTGCCTTCCAAAAATTTACCCCGTAATTCATTCCGTTACAACTCCCCCGAAGAAAAAACAACAGTCGAGCGGAGGTCGGGGCAAAATTTTTGGAGCCCACATTGAAATGAAATGTCATAGATGAGTTATAAAATAACATTGAATTCAGTACAATGATGATGATATTTGCAAGACATATGCAAGAGGTTGTACCTTGGAGTATGCTTTTTGCCGATGATATTCTTGTTCATAAAACTAGAGAGGAAGTTGAAGGTAAAGTTGAATTATCAGGTCGGCCTTGAGGCTTTTATTTGAGTAGATCTAAAACTAAATATATAGAGTGTAATTTTACTAATAATAGATCTAGTAGGGTGATTGTGACTTTGGGCGATCAAGTCGTTAATAAGAGTACATGTTTAGATATCTTGGGTCTATTGTTCAGAGTGATGGTGAAATAGATGGGGATATTATAGTAGAATTCAAGTTGGATGGATAAAGTGGATGAATGCATCGGGCTTGTTGTGTGATAGAAAAGTACCTCTCAAACTTAAGGGAATATCCGATAAGATGGTAGTGAGATCTACAATGCTTTATGGAGCATAATGTTGGTCATTAAAAGATAAATATATTATTAAGTTAAGTGTTGCAGAGATGAGGATGCTCAGGTGGATGAGTGACTTTAATCTTAGAGATATGATACGAAATGAGCATATACGTGAAAAGGTAGGAGTAGCTCCAGTGGAAGATAAGATTAGAAAGAGTCGCCTTAGATGGTTTGGTCACATAAAATGGTGGCCTTCCAATGACCCAGATAGGAAAGTAGATGTATTAAATTTGACTTATTTTAAGAAAAGTAGATGTAGACCAAAAAAGACTTGGTTAGAAAATATTAGAAAAGAACTTATGTAGCCGACCACACATAGTGAGATAAAGACTTGTTGTTGTTGTTGTTGAATACAATACAATGATGAAATTAGTACAGAGTGCTATACCTCCACCGGATAACTTCGTTATGTCCTCTTCCCTTTGAGAAATAGGATTGTCATCATCATATTGGACCCATTTACCTGGATGATAAACTCGTTCATAGAAAATAACATGGCTAAAAAAAATTCAAGATGAAAACAAAACTTCAGAAGTATGCGATTTAATAATATAAGTAGACTGACCATTCTCCTGCTTCACCCAAGCAACATAATGACCGGAGTCGGCACTTCTTCCCTTGTGTGTCAATACAGCAACAAGATCATAGATGCCAGTTAGCTGTGTTTTCTTCTCAGATGAAGCTTCTATTGCAAGTAAAAAAGAGTTATGTGGAGGTTAAAACAGACTTCTAAACAAATTCTTCATCTACAAAACTGGTTTTATTCTAGCAATTGAATTATGGATAGAAATATGTCAGCAACAACTGGACCTAAAAATGAAAGAAATATGGATGAAAGCTATGCGCTGAGTCAAAACATAACTTTCCCTAACAACGAAATGTAGTTAAACAACTACAAAGTGGCTCACTATAAAATTTAGAAGTTACTAAATACTTCGAGTAAGCCATAATATACTACATGACGACAAGTTCATTCAAGAGAGGATCTTAGAGCATGTAAAATAGGTGGAAGAACTGCTATTGTCAACATTAACAACATTTCAAGAAATATGATATCCTGTTTAGTAAAAATTGTATCTTTCTAACCATCCGAAGCAGTAGCATTAAATAACAATGAACCTTTGATATCTGACAAGCTAAACTTAACATCGAGCTCTGACTCTCATACTGTCAAACGCATAAGTTGCCATTAAAGTAAGATGGTTTTGTAAGCCCGATTAACAAAATGTTTAGCCAAGAAAACTGAAAAGTTAAAATAGAAAACAATTGAATCACATACAACAACAACATCAAGCATTTATCCGATCCCACTACGTGGGGTCAGTTCATGAATTATTTTTCTCCATTGTGTCCTATTAAGAGCTAAATTCTCATTTAAATCGAATAAAAAAATGTCATTTCTAATATTTTCTAACAATGTCTTTTTAGGCCTACCTCTATCTTTCTTAACATAGGCTAAATCTAATACATCTATTCCCCTAACCGGGCCATCAGAAAGCCGGCGTTTAATGTGACCAAATCATCTAAGGCGACCTCTACCTTTCTAAACAAAACAATTGAATCACATAAGAATGTTAATTTTAATTGAGAAATACTATGAAAAGTATAAAATAAAAATCACATTACATTCGAAAATGATGATTTTTAAGTTCCCTATGATTCCAAATGCTAGTCTTGCTAAACAAGTGCAAGTAGGGTTTGTTTTAGTTCAATTGTTCCTATAGTATAGTTAGTTGAGGCACAAATGTTGCTAAACGCGTACGATAAGAAACTGTTTAGTAGTTGGAGCTGTTTGAATACAGCTGTGATGTAATCCTGTGCGAAATGCACATGCATATTTCTAATTCGAAAATAAAAACTAATGTGTATCCAAATCAAGACAAGGCACTACTACCTGCTTTAAAATCCTGCTTTGTGATTTCAAAAGACAAAAATGCCCCAATCTAGTCTGAAAAAGACTTATTAAAAATAAATGCTACACCCACCGAGGCTTTTAGGGTGGTCGGTGGGCGAGTACGGTTGGGATCCCCCCATCTTGGATTCGAATCCCCTCTACTACGGCCTCGCCCCTTCATTGGGGCAAAGCAAGTGTGGGCCCGATGCCGGTGGGTGGCCTCGCTAGGTTCCGCCGAGGGATTAGTTACATCGTCAAACCCTCCCTTTGGAGTGGCAAGCGGGTAGATGCCCCCATTCCCAAAAAAAAGTTAAAGAAAAATAATAAAAAAATTTAAAAAAATAATAAATGCTAATAAAAAAAAATTAAAAAATAATAAATGCTACAACTTTTAATTTGATAAAAAAAATAATAGTTGATAAAATAATTATAAATATTTAGAAGAATATAAAACAAAATCTAGAGAATAAAACTAGTATTTACATTGCACGAAAAGATTTGTGACTTCTGTCAACTTATTTTTAGAAGCATTTTCTAGCTATCGTTTCAAAACACCTACCAGAAAGCAGCTTCTCACCACCATTTTGGGCGGGTTAATTCTCATACAGCAAGTGAAAAAAAAAACCCCAAACACTACCATGCTGTTGAGAAGTGCCTTTTCGTGTAGAAAAGCTAGAGAAAAGCTCAACGAAAAAGGGCTTTTAAACTATTTAAGTTTGCAGTGTATATATATTAGTCTAGAGATAATATAAACTTCCCTACTGTATATTCCATCTTCATTATAACTGTGTTATTTTCTTAATCGTATTAGTCGCGGCCCATCTCTTCCTCCATCTTCTTATATTACTTGTTTTCAAAATCCTAAAAATTTGTAACTTTTGCTACTTTAGTACTTGAAGTAGTTGCACAAATATTAATCTAACTTGTTGCCTAATGTGTATCCAAGTTTCTGCAGCTCTTAATCCTCTTTACACATTACTTCATATTAAGTTACCATCATAAGAAAATAACTCATCTTCCACTTTGAGATGTTGGCGCCCATCTCTCAAATCAAGACAAGGCACTCAACCCACTACTCGAAGCATAAAAGAAGAACTTCGCCTAAGCATGCCTTAATAATGATGTAGGCCTAAGAAACATACAATGCACTACGACCTCCCTTAGACTCATTGAAGCCCTTATACAATAGTCGGCTTACTTTTAACAACATTGTCCACATAGGACCTATACATCTAGACATGCCTAAAGGTCAAGCATTAAAAGGGAACAATGCGAAATGGAGAATAGGCAACAAACATGAAAAGAGAGAGTGAGAAATGTAGAATGTGAAATCAGAACAAGACGTCTTCTTCGACCTAAACTTCTTTTATTTTCAAAAGACAACACTTTAGTGGTTCTTTCCACTCATTCAAGAAGACTACTAAGACTAAGGCTTTGCTAGTACACTCTTTAAAAATATCTTATGAGAAGAAATTGTCCTATGTTCTTTCCCATTATTGCCGCAATTTCAACAATGGAGGCAATAATGTGGAGGGCACCACAACCTCTTGCGAAACAAATCATTGTAGGTGTGGAGTAGAAAATAGAATGCAATGAGAGGAGCTATACTTGATTTTGCAGTAGCTTGTGAACTTGCAATAACAAAATGAATACATACTTTAAGAATCAAGAAGAACAAATAGTTACCTACAAAGAAGAGTAACCTAATCACAAATATGCTTTCTTCTGGCCCGATGTAGAGAAAATTCCTTAATGCGAAAACTGTTGGTTTTTTTCTAAAAGAGAGTTGGACAACACATTATAGAATAACAATTATAGATATCTATATTAAAAGTATAACAAAAACTAAGTAGAGGAAATAATTGCACTAGTACAGAGAAAATACTTTAATATTTCAAAATAGGTTGCTAAGGGAGGTAAATTGAAATAAATTTAATGAGTAAAACCAAATATTACATAAGATAGCTAGTTTTTTTAAGAAGATTGAATCAAAACTTTAATGAAAGTCTAATAACAAATCATTTACTTATAAAGAGACTTGGTGAAGTAAAAATATATAAAAGGCTATTAAGGAAAATAAGTGTCATTAAATAGTGAAAAAAATCTAAATATATTTAGGTTTATAATGAATATAATAAATTTAAAAGTCTTATAAATAGCAATGTGAGCAAATAAAAAGCTACAACTCCAAATGATTTATATAATATGCACAATAATAAAGCAAAAGAAAGGAGAAATATATAAAATAACTTAAAAGAAAGAGACCAAAGATAAGAGGTACAGAGGTTTTTGTTAGGCCTATCCCTGGACCGGTCATTTGTAAAGCCGGCAGAATAGGGGTTCCACGCAGTTGTATTTTGGTTCATAGGGCTGGGGTCCAATATCCCTCATTAAGGAGAAATTAAGAGAGGTTCAGGAGGGACAATTCAAAAGGTAGGGGTGTTTTGAGATTTACTTAATTATTGTATTTTTTATTTATATTTATATTTTTTTATTTTTTACTTAATTATTGTATGATTAAGTATGTTTTTGGAGGCTAGGGTTAGTCTATTATCTCTTGCTTTAATTGAAATTATGTTGTTCTAGGGTTTGCTTGGGCTCTAGACAACGTTAGGGATAGTGAGAGTCGGATCTTCCTCTCAAATTGAAGATCCATGATATCTTGCTTGTGTTAGGCCATATATCATCAATTAAAAATTTTTTGTCCTAGTTTTTTTTTTTTCTGCATCTTCTCAACAACATTTTTTATTTTTGCTGAAATTAAATTTTAGCCAAGGTATTTCTTGAATTCTCTTCAAACATTTTCTATCAAATTGGTATTAGAGCGCATCAATTCGTGGTGCCTATGACCGGGAGGAAAATGGAAGTATTGGAAGGAGAGATGAAACAATTAAAATTAAATTTTGTGGAGAAAATTTCTGAATTTGAAAATCATTTTCCAACCATTAATGCAAAAGATGGATGGGATGTTTGTCGTCGTGGAAGAAAGGTTGAAGATGTTGCTTAACGCCCAACCCAAAATGACATCATCAGAGGCAAGTACGGTCACGGAAGTGGTAAAAACCTGAATCCGATGAGGGGAAAATCAAGAGGTAGAGATTTGAAGGGAGAAGATGTGATGCCTCTTTTAGAGCCTATTTCAAGGGAAGAAGGGTAGAGGGTATGAGCGAAGGGGGACTGATTTTGCAAGAAGAGCAGCTGATTATGAGCGAAGGGGTACTGATTTTGAAAGGAGGGGGATTTTGAAGAAGGGTTTGGGAATGAGCAAAGGGGGGGGGGTCAGGATATTTGGGAGGACCATCCTCTTGAAGAATGGGAGGTTACGGAAAAATGATGGGGGAACGAAGATGATCCGTGGGTAATGAAGCTGAAGATGCCTATCGTTGAGAGAGAGGATGCATATGGGTGAACCTATAAGGTGGAGAGGTATTTCACCATCAATGGGTTCACGTAGGAGAGGTTGACGGTAGATGGCCTGTGTTTAGATGAGTAGACCTTGCTTGGTAAAAGTGGAGAGACATAAGATGCCCCATATGGAGCTGGATGGAGTTCAAGGACAGCTTGTCGTAACGTTTCCGAACCAGCAGAGGATGGGATTTCAATGAGCAGTTTTTTCACCTTAATACAGGAAGACTCAATGGTAGAATACCGTGAGAGATTCGAGTACCTTGTTAGCTGATTGTATCGGCTTTTTGATATTGTGCTAGAGGGGAACTTCATCAAAAGGGCTAAAATGGAGAACAAGGTGACGGTTAGAGTGATGAGGCATCGTAACTTAGGAAAGGCTATGG